CCTGTTGGTTACAGTGTTTACTTCCTTTTTAATTATATTTTTATTAAATATTTATTTATATGTGAAAATACTTTGTCATCTAAAGTATAAGTATGCAAAGGTTTATATATGATTTACGTTACAAATCTAGTGAGATAATGCACACTGTTTTCCCAGATGAACGTTAAGCAATTCAAATTCACGGCATATACAGAGGAAGAGTTTAGCCCCTTTCACACATACAGTCTTTACTGGAAAAATTACCGGTAAGTTACCGTTAAGAAATCATGTGTGAGCAGGACCTTTTCAAAAATCCTGGTAAATTTGTTCTGGCGATCATATCGTTCTTATGGAGATGACATGATTACTCTGAGCTGTTTACAAAGCTCCGCTGCTTTTTAATCCTATATAAATATGCGTTAGATGGACATCTTTGACCATTGCGCCTAGCAGCTTTTTCAACGCGTCGCGCTTCTCCATTCATCAGGGCTGCGACCAGTGTTGCCAACTTCTTTCAATGGAAAGTAGCTAAAGCCAGTTTGAAAAGTCACTAAATTACGTCATACGCTAATTAGCATATTCATGACGACATCACGTCATATTGCCTTTTACATTTGTTTGCCTCTCTGTGCTCACATACTGTAATTTAATTTAGCCAAATTCTCAATAAAACTGTTTTCATTTATATAATTTACTGTTTATGTTGTCAGTAAATATGAAACAGTGACTGAAATGTGGCCCTTTAAAGGGTTACTTCACCCAAAAATGAAAATTCTGTCATTAATTACTCACCCTCATATTGTTCCAAACCCGTAAGACCTTCGTTCATCTTCGGAACACAAATTAAGATATTGTTGATGGAATCTGAGAGCTGTCTGACCCTCCCATAGACAGCAAGGGTACTACCACGATCAACGTCCAGAAACGTAGCAAGGAGATCGGTAAAATAATCCATGTGACATCACGGGTTCAACCGTAATATTACGAAGCTACGAGAATACTTTTTGTGCACAAAAGAAAAAGAAAAAAACAACTTTATTCAACAATTCGCATCACCCTAGCGCCATTTTGGAGAGTATACACTGAACGCAAACAGCGTATGTTGTTCTGTGTCAGCTGTATCACACGGATACGTTGTTTTCATTCAAATCAATGCAAAAACAAAGTAAAAAATGTATCCGTGTGATGCAACTGACACAGAACAACATATGCTGTTTGCGTTTAGTGGATATTAGGGGTGGAACGGTTCAACTTACTCGCGGTTCGGTTTGTATCACAGTTTTAGAGTAACGGTTTCGGTACGGTTCGGTATGTGCTATGTTTAGGGAAAAAACTATATTGTCAAATAAAAATAATGAAGATAACAAATAATCTAACTACAAGTAACAGCACAAATAAATACAATAGAGCAAAGTTCCAAATAAAATAAACAGTGCTTCTCAGGTTTTTTAGGTAGGTCTAACATTAGTTTTTAGGTACAGAAATTGAATAAAGTAATCACATGTAAAATGACATTGCATATTTGACTGTATAAATTAAAGATTAATCCTTATTAAAGTTACAAAAGTTATTCAATCAAGAGCAGTGAGTGATTTCCGTGTTGTTGCTGTTTGATTAATATTAAGAAAGTGCTGTCACTTTAAGAGAATGCACTGATCCAGTGCACTGATACAGTACGTTCAGCCGACTATGTCTGCTAGGATACGTCCATTCAAGCACAATACTTCAAAGAGAGCTTAATATTTGCGCGCGTTCTGAGATGCGGGTTCACGCACTTCGGATGAGCGCACACACAGATCTTCTCACTGCGCGCGCGAGTTCTCGTCTTCTGGCTCTTTAATATTTAAACTGGCAAGGCTTAAATGAGTTTAGTTTAAACACAGATAGCAACTTGTGCTGTTCAGGTCTCACCTGCGCTATCAACACGTGACGACGGCATAAATGACGTCCAGCATACAGTTATTCCAGCATACAGCACTCGCATTGAACAAAGAGTGACTGGTTTGTCCACGTGTTGTTTTTTTTCTCTCATCGCTCTTGTTGTCATGTATTGGGAAGCCAGAATTTGTATCCATCAACAGAAACATGCATTAGCCGAACTCTTACAAACCATATTACAGATGCATTGTCAGATTAAAGTTGAACCGCGGTCCTAGTGCATGCCGAACCGTGTGTGGAGAACGGTACGGTTAGATTATTTACTGAGAACCATTGCACCCCTAGTGGATACTTTCCAAAATGGCACCAGGGTGATGCGGAGGAGACGAATTGTTGAATAAAGTCGTTTTTTTTTTTTTTGGCGCACAAAAAGCTCTGATGAAATCAAATGCACATAACATAAGCAAAGACAAAGACAATTCCTGTGCCGTGTTTTCGGCTATATTTGCGTGTAAAATTAGAGAAGCAACATCATATCTATTTTAACTGAAAGAAGTGCTTCTCTCTGCCGCTCGCTGAAGAGCAGAGAGAGAGAGAGAGAGAGAGAGAGAGACTCACTCAGCAAACGCTCACGCATGCGCGAGAGAGAGAGAGAGAGAGCGAGAGAGAGAGAGAGAGGTGTGAGCGCTGTGTAAGCGATATCTCGCGCTCGTGCGGCAGTACTAGTGAGTCAAAGAGACTCGCTAAGGGTTGTCCAAGAAGTCGCTAGATTTGTCGCTAGTCGCTTTTTTGGAAAAAAAAGTCGCTAGGTGGGTATGAAAAGTCGCTAAATCTCGCGACAAAGTCGCCAAGTTGGCAACACTGGCTGCGACTCTGCAATTGGATACTATTATGCCTGTCTCATATTTATAACAGCAAAAAAATCTGATTGGCTAGTAATATTAGTTTGGTTGAGAGTGAAACCTGTGCTCATCTCATACCATTGGTAGGCAAACTCATGGACTCAAAAGTGATTTCAACAAGTTTTTTTAAAATGTAGGATTACTTTTTTCCACAGCCAAACGCTGCACGCCGGAGATGCTGTGGTGGACGAGGAGCACGGAGCCCATGCAACTGAAGCGGCAGATGTACGCCTCGACCTTACAGCCGCCGGTGGAGTGCAGAATTCTGACCCCCGCCAGATTATTACCCCCCTAGTATTGGTAGGTTTAGAGTTAGGTGTGGGGGAGGGGTTAAGATTAGGAGTGGGGTTAGGATTAGGCAATCAGATAGCGATTTCAACAAGAGAGGCAATAATTTGGCAGGGGGTCGAAAATTGGCACAACACCGGCACGGTGCCGGAGAACTTTAAGCCCTGCTTATATGACGTATTTCCTGTATTTTTTTAAAGACTGAATCTAGTAATACACATATTTAACTATTCAAAATATGTATTAGTCCATCTTGGGTAACTATTTAGTTTTTTTACACAATTTTTAAGTGGAAGATTTTTCTCAGTCCTGTTACCAAAACTCTAATGTCTTTTAAAAAAACATGTTTAAAAATATGTCAACTAGTGGTCAACCGATATATCGCCAAGGCCGATATTTGCCATTTTTCAAATAGATGGCCGATAAGTTTTTCCTGTTTGGCCGATGCGTTCGAGGCGGGAATTTTATTTTGACGGCGCGTCTGACTTTTATTTTGAAATGCAGCGCCTGAGCATACAGTGCTCGCATTCTCCCTCTTGATTGCTAGCTCTGTCTAATACGGATAAAAATCTGTCTAAAAATCAGATAGAACGGTCAAACAAAGGAATTAAAATGTATACAAAAAGTATTATAACGATTGCTTTTATATTATTAGTATAGAAAGAAAAAACATTATAATACTTTCTTGTTTGCCATCAGCATTCAGCAAATACGCATTTATATCATTTAAACAAATCTTTGAATGTCTAATGAACATTTAATTTCACACAATTGTTGGTTACGGTGTTTACTTCCTTTTTAATCATATTTTTATTACATATTTATTTATTTGTGTAAGTATAAGTATAAGTATGTTTATTTTACACATTTATTATTTAATCCATTTTCAAACGATTTCAAATTTCTTAAATATTCATTAAATAAAATTATATCGGCTTTATATCGGCCGCCCTGCTTTCCAAGATATCGGCATCAGCATCGGCTGTCAGAAAAACAATATCGGTCGACCACTAATGTCAACAAATTCCTTCATTTTCTCCTCAGGCAGGTGTTTATTTGAAAGAAATTGTTGGTTTCATTGTCAAAAAAGATTATTTTTATCATAAAAAAAAAATCACTATTTATCTACACAAGGTGTATTTTTTCTAAAGTACACAAACCCTTTTTTTTTTTCATTTTAAAGGCGACTCAAACCTCAAGCTTATCAATTTTCTATGATGCAGTTTATTAAACAATGGGATAAATTACAGACCAAACTTAATTTACAAATTAGTGGTTTAACTTTATTTCTTAAAGAAAAAATTATGTTGAACATTGACTAGTGAGCTGACCTCACTGCTAAAAAAGGCCAAATCATGTTTCTATTTAAATCTAGTGGTCTGCAGAGGTTTTTGTTAGGGTTATGTTTAGGGTTAGAGGACGGATTATGAGACGATAGAAATAGCCAAAAAATAATACATATAAAATATTAAATTAAAACTGCTTTTAAAAATAATAAACTTAACAAATAATATCTTTTCAGTTTTTCTGTGGATATTGTTTTCTTATAGCGCAGCTCACACTCAAACGCCCTTCCATATACGAGTAAGAAAAAATATATATTTAGTAACAGGAATGAAACTGGGTAACAGGAATGAGTATCCATTATATTAGTATACAGGTTTGACTACACATGTGAGGTGTTAATGCCCGCACTGATATAGTGAAAGTGTTGCACATTGACTAGTGAGCCGATCTCACTGCTAAAAAAGGCCAAATCATGTTTCTATTTGAATCTAGTGGTCTGCAGAGGTTTTTGTTAGGGTTATGTTTAGGGTTAGAGGACGGATTATGAGACGATAGAAATAGCCAAAAAATAATACATATAAAATATTAAATTAAAACTGCTTTTAAAAATAATAAACTTAACAAATAATATCTTTTCAGTTTTTCTGTGGATATTGTTTTCTTATAGCGCAGCTCACACTCAAACGCCCTTCCATATACGAGTCTAATACATAATTGCCACAGGACAGAAATTTCAAGTACTTTTTTCTGTCATACTTGAAGGAATGTAATATAAAACAGCAATGCAGGAACAACCACAGGTTTTCTCTGGGCAAAAGCATTGTCTCAGTGTGGATAGAAGGCCAAAATGTTGGGAAAAAGATGCATTTTCAAATTTATCTAGATAAATATGGATGTAGCCTAATATTTACATTAATAAATCTGATGACACTACTCACTCCTGTTACTTTTACTCAGTTACTATATATAGGTATAGGATAAATTAGTATATGAGTAACAGGATTGAGATTTTAGGATAAAATTAGCAAATGCATATAATCTAGCCACATGGAATACATGCTAATATTACGAGAATACTCAGCAAATTATAGTGATTCACCAAAGATTTGTATTTTTAAAATAAACAAGTCACATCTAAGAAATAATTTAGGTAACAGGACAGTACATTTATAATGAAGCTCCCAGCCACCGTTACAATAGACAGAAAAGAAAAGAAGATCACATGCTTTCGGTCATTTCATTGCCTTCAGAAGATCCAGATGTAGCAATATTATGTTGAAAATGTGTCTTGTGTATATATATATATATATATATATATATATATATATAGTAATCTGTCAATGCAGTACACTATTGAACGCTTTAGATGACTCTTACCATGGATGCATTGCATGGGTGTTTGGCCACATCAACAACGTCTTTATTGGCTCGAATCTGTTTCTCTCGCTCCTTTCGGTTCTCAGCCTTCTTACGAGCGCCAGTCTTTTTCTTAGGCATCTTCCACCTCCAATATCACAGAGACAGAACACAAATCTGTGACACATGTTATCGATTCACTATAAAACACATTGCGATGCCCTGTTGACAGTGTGACTCCGCGCTGCTGATTCCCACTGAACTTACATGAGCTCATTAATGACTTTAATAAACATCTCAACTTAACAGTTACTTTTACGAAAACGTCTGGTTTTAGTCACAGCTCAATAACATATAGTCGACCACGTTTGTCATAGGAAACATACCCAGATTAAAGGTTTAATCGCGTAGAAAACAGGCAGTTGATCACAGCTGATCCCGGTGCGTGCGTAACGGTAAATCGTTCCGGAAGGAAACTTATCAGTTATCAGTTCCATGAACATTTACTAACAGGTGTCTTTTGCGTGGTGGAACTGTTTGGATTATAATCTGATGCAGATGAATTGTATTAAAATATCTATATATATTAATACCCATATATATGTTAATTTAAAAGAATTACAGGAGATGTAGTCCCACTCCATCACAGAGGAAGGCAACGCACATGTCCAGCGCTGTCCGTAACGGAGCGGTTGCCAGATATTCTACCAAATCGCTTCACTAAGTTTTCACGTTGCCTCTTTTCAATATGTGATAAGTAATAAATTAAAGGAAGAATCATTCAAATATTGCATATATTCTACTCAAAAATTGTAATAAATATAGTAGTAATAAAATCAAAGGAGTATAAAAAATGCTAACTTATAACAACTGCAAAACTTCTAAAGATTGTGCAATCTTTTTACATTATTTGCTTAGCTTTATATATATGTGTGTGTGTGTGTGTGTGTGTGTAGTAGTAGGCTAGTAGTTCATAGTTCCACTGATCAGTGCACACGCCAACGTTCTCCTTTCAATTAATCCGATTTATTTATTTATTACGCTCTTTGAGTCCCTTATTGCTTAATATAGCATTGTATATTGTGATATTATTCAACAACTGCATATTTCCTCTACAGTCAATTTTTTTTTACAATATCTGGCAACCTTCGCATCCGACACCGTCACAACAAGCGCAAATGCTGCTGGGTGACACGTCATGGTGGTGGACTGCATCTATAAGCCACTTTTAAAGGACGACGGTGATGGACAGGTAGATGTTTCGGTCTGACTGCGCTTTAATTGTGTTGTGGGGTTGCCAAGTGATGCCGTATTCAAGGATCGTAGTCATATACTGAAAAATAGGCTGGATAAAGACGTTCCCCGGCGTGAAAACAGTTAGTTTGGCATCATCTCTGAAAACATGGCAATGTCCCTAACCCAAGCCTGCCGGAGTCTTGCCCTGTCTACATGGCTGCTGTCGTTTTGCTTCGTGCATTTGCTGTGTCTGGACTTCACAGTGGCAGAGAAGGAGGAATGGTACACTGCCTTTGTCAACATCACTTACCTGGATCCAGTCACATCTGAAATAAAGACAGACAAGAGTGAATGTGGCAGATATGGGGAGCACTCACCTAAAAGAGATGCCAGGGGCTTTGTGTTTATGCCATCTCTTCTGCAGGACAGACAGGTGTGTGACAGTAACACTAAATTCCCCCTTCCCCATCCCAGCATCCCATGGATAGCAGTGATAGCCATAGGAAACTGCACCTACAGGGAGAAGATCAGATATGCTGCTGCTCTCAATGCATCCGCTGTGGTCATTTTCAATGTGGGCTCCAGCAACTCCAATGAGACCATTACTATGCCACATCACGGTAAGATGAGATGCTTTTCTTGTGCATTTGCTCATTAATTGACCATTAAAGTTGTGCACTGTATTCCAAGTTTATAAACCCACTTTCACTGTATAATAAGTTGTTCCAAGCCTGTATGCATTTCTTTCTTCTGCTGAGCACAAAAGAAGATATTTAGAAGAATGTGAGTTCTATTTAGGCAATATTCACATTGCAACAATATACAGGTGACAAGAAGGCATCGCCGCCCCTTTGGTTTTTTTTTTTTTTTTGTTTTTTTTTTTTTTTTTTTTTTTTTTCATACTATGCAAATAAATGGCTACCGGCACCTGTTTGGTTACCAGCATTCTTCAAAACATTGCCTTTTGTGTTCAACAGAAGAAGGAAATGCATACAGGTTTGGAACAACTTGAGGGTGAGCAAATGATGACAGAATTATCATTTTGGGTCAACTATAAAGAAACTTTTATTGATGGTTATTTGGGTGAATAAAATAATGACCGAATTGCTTTTTGGATGAACTATTCCTTTAATGTATAACAAAGATATCACATCAATGCACCAACATGTGATTATGGCCAATGATCCATGTCGTGTGATTCAAGCTTGACCAGTTTGTTTGCACTATTAATAGTTAACATCTATGATGCACTGTATCCTGATGTGAAAAAAACCCATTAAACTCTTGAGATTTGCATGGTCTATTTACATACTTTGCAAAGTATCAAGCCTCCTTTGCATCTTTGGATCAATATTTTCATATTGCATTATATTTCACACCAAAAAAATGTTGTTATACTTTACAATAAGGTTCCATTAGTTACTTTATTTATTTATTGCATTGCTTTTTAACATTGTTTTCACAACAATAAATTATATTGTTGTAATGCATAAAAAAGTAAAACTATCATGCTAAAAACAAGGCATATTATTGCACATTAATGACATTCCCAACATCTCACTTTCCTCCTACACAGACTTTCCGAACATTTCCCAACTGTCCACACTTCTCTTGACTCCACTATCTCATACTTGTATGATTCATATATTACAAGAATCAAAATGTATTGGTCTACACACATATTTTCTGAGATTGTTGTCTTGACTAACTCTGAAGCAACTAAGGATTATGTTTATTACTTGAGTTGCGACATCATTACTCAATGCGTTTGCAGTCACTGCAGGTTACTTCATGCTTGTTTTGTGTTTTCTCAGCAATGGATGATTTTCACAAAAACATGTCCAGGTCACACTGCAACCCAAAATCATAAGGAAAAATATATTTTGTATAAAGAAAGTGAGGCTTTTTTTGGGACATTTGTCTGTTGTTGTTGTTGTTGTTGTTGTTGTTATCATCATGACAGTCAAGCTCATGTTCTCCCCAAACTCATTAAACATTAAAAACTCATTAATACATTAAAGATATAGATGAGTTTGTTTCTTCATGGGAACAGATTTGGAGGAAGTTAGCATTCCATCAGGAACCAATGGATCCTCTACAGTGAATGGGTGCCGTCAGAATGAGAGTCCAAACAGCTGATAAAAACATCACAATAATCCACAAGTAACTGAGACCACTCCAGAGTCTAGACCATCATTGCTTCTGGAAAAATACGAGTTCTCTATGCATAATATTGCTTTCTCCATTAAAAAAGTCATATCATCACTGTTTACAAGCTAAAACGGTTTTCAACAAATATTTTGGTGGATTTTGATGTGAGAGAGTAACAGGGGATGGACTTTTTCACTGGAGGAAGCATTATTATGGATTACTCCTGGATTATTGTGATTTTTTTATCAGCTGTTTGGACTCTCATTCTGACGGCACCCATTCACTGCAGAGCATCCGCTGGTGAGCAAGTGATGGAACGCTAAATTTTCCAAAGAAACAAACTCCTCTACATCTTGGATGGCCTGAGGGTGAGTGAATTTTCAGTTAAATTGCATTTGTGGGTGAACTATTCATTTTAAACTTTCTCAAAGATCTTGTCTGTGCGTGTTTCGGTTTGGTAACATTAGTGGGGGTTGTTATATTGCTCAAACCATTTCAACCACAAGAATCTCTCTTGCATTTGCAGAACTCATGGTCAGGACATGCTGTTGTGTCTGATCAAGAGTGCCTGTTGTTCTCTCTGTTTCTCTCACTTCCCCACCGCTTTCTTGTCTCTTGTCCCTTCGTTTCATTAATTCTTTGTGGTTTTTGAGTGCTAGCAGTCAGACATTATCCAGACAGATTATTCTGCATATGATGGTTAAAGCTGCTGTGTTTTTTCCAATGTTACAGGAACAGTTCACCCATACATTTTTCTGTCATCATTTATTCATCACTACATGAGTCTTGTAAACTGTATTTTAGCTTTGAAATAAGCAATGCTGGATAATAGGCAGTAAAGTTCTCTCAAAATGAAATTATTCTGTTTATTGGGTAACACACATGAAACTGAAATAATGCAATAAACATTCATTTAAGAACATTAGGTGTTACACACAACCCTAATATACAAAACTGATAAGAGAAAACTAAGAAACATAGTTATTTCAACAAAAAAAACATCAAATTTGAAATGTAATGCAGGGAATTCTGGGAATGTCAATTTTACGGTTATTCACTGTAAATTATACAGGGTTTTTTTTCCACTTCCAAAAATGGTATACTACCGTAAAATTACATGTAATGTCCAATACAGTTTTTCACTGTATATAGTAGGGGAATTTACCGTTAACCATTTAACAGGTTTTTACTGTAGCATATTTACAGTATTTTACCGTTAAATTCATGGTCATTTTTTACAGTGTATGCTTGCATTACAACTCAAGCATTTTGTACATATTGGCAATAAATAAATAAAAATAACAAAACAAAAGCATTTACTCAAAAAGCCAGCAATATTTGGAATATGCAATGCCGGGTTTATTAGACAACCAGTTCATGAAGAAATCCTTAGGAATCCTCAGAAACAACATTTGCAGCAGGGAAGTTCTACTAAAAGAGATAAAGATGGTGTGTTAATGCCAAGTAGTTGAAGAAGCCTCCCATTGACTTTCATAGTAGGGAAAGAAATACTGTGGAAGTCATTGGGTACCATCAAATTCTTTTGTGCTCAACGGAAGAGAGAAACTCATACAGATTGGAACAACTTGAGAGTGAGTAAATGATGACAGAATTTTTTTTGGGTGAACTATCCCATTTAACCTCCCTATTTAGCCTCTAAAATGTTCAAATGTTTATCATTTAAGGGTTGAAGTGGGTCAGAGTCTGAAACTGACTACATTCATGCATAGTTTTGATCTGCTGACCTGCTGCTGTCATGTTGTTATTGATGAAGCTCCAAAAAAGTGTTAACATTAACATTAATCACTGTATCCTGAACTATGCAGCGCAGTAATTCATCTCTCAAATCCTGAGCTCAGCCAGTTCCTTGTTTGTAAATGGAGAGGGCTGGTGGTACTCAGCACTGGTCAAGTGCATTCTTCATAGTTTTATTTTTGGTTTCTTTGTTGACATTGAGTAATGGAAATGTGCATGAGGAGGGACCAGAAATTGGCCTGGGGTTTTACATTGTTGTTGTTGCTGTGGGAATCAGAGATCTGAAATGGTGCTGTTGTGGGAAACTCACTGTAAGTATGTCAGAGTTCATCCCATCTGAATGTGCTTGAATTCTTCAGCTCAGACGTAAGATGTTAATGTTTATCATGCTTTAATCAAATGCA